GCTGTATAATGGTAGGGGAAACACTGACCAGGTTTGGAGCAGTTTGAAATAATTACTAATTATCGTCAGAGGAGCAGGATGTGCCTTCGCTCTCTCTTCTGCCCCCCCACCCCACCGCTTCGCTGCTTTTTGCTTCTTTAAGCTTTTTTTTCACTACCATCCAAAACTAAAGGAATTATGGATTTGGTCAACTGGTCTCTGAATGCAATTGACTCTATTGTTTTCACACTTGGAACGAGGGGAATGTGGCTGTCTGGGTGGAACGGTTGCTGCTGGACGTGTCAGAGATTCCTGGGGCTGGAATCTGATATGCCAGCACCAATTTTCATTGAAGACGTGGAAGATTTATATATATATTTGGATTTATGATAACTGGATTCCTGCTGATCAGCGGAGGAGGGTTCCAGATTTATCCAAATGTGAAAGCGAACCTGACAGTGGTTCGGGCCTTTGAGGAGCTGTCAGGCGCATTAGAAGGATTCTGCCGGGCTGGTAGCACACAGACTCTCAGCTGGGGGAAATAATTCGCAAACTGGATGTGATTCTGACGAGGATCGCAGCTCAGGAGCGAGCCTCCGGCATGTAAGGATTACATCTGGGTGATGCTTCAGACGGTGAGATGCGAGGAAGACCCCAAATTCGGCTGATTGGGTTTTTTTTCGCCACTTCAGAGATGCAGTTAAGACATTTCAAAAGCAGCAGGAAATTCAAGGCTGCTTTGTTCCAAAACAATTGGATTATCTATTTGGCTCCCAGTGGCACAGCCTTGATGGCAGTGTTTATCTCAATCTCCCCAGGATGGAATATCAACAAAGAGCTTGATTTGCTCCTACCCCATCACCTGTGTTGGACCCGGCCCAAGAACCCAATGGCTGAGGAGGAGGAAACTCTGAACTCTGGTGAACTGAGTAGAGACAATAATATCATGCGACTCTGGACTCTGGAGGGGTCCAGCGTTGGGTCCTAGCACAGACCCCCGCTCCCTCAACGTCACCTATTCCTCTGAACTCGCCCCATCTTACCTCCCCTTTATCTGTTGTTTGACCCCCAGCCCCCTCCCTTCCTTAGCTGCCTTGCACTGAGTGCTTTTTTTTGAGCGTATGTTTCTGTGTTTCTGTGTAAACCCAGGATCAGAGCATCTTTTTTAACTCTCCTTTCCTATTGTGTGTATTCCAAGCTAAAGGTAGTGCACCGTCGAGCGAAAGACCTTGGACATTTGTTCCCCCATGTTTGTTATTTATGTGTTTCTCCGGACGAATGCTCTAAACTGCAAATTTTGTTCTGCATTGCATCTTTGATGTTGTGTGTGAATGACAATAAATTATTCTGATATATATATATATTTTTCTGAATGGTTTTGGACATTTGTCACTGGTGTTTTCAGAGGAGCGCTCCCTTGCAGGTATCAACATCCAGCTCTGACACTCTGGACACAAGCTGCAAACTCCAACTGCATCTTGTCTTAATGTCACATCAATTTATTCTGTTTATGTGTTCCTGGGACTGAATGACACAGTGCTGCAATTCTTTCAAAGAAGCGCTGTTTATCTGACTGAAACCTCATTGTTGTGCTCAGATGCAAAGCTTACAGAGGAATGCGTGTTACACTAGCGTGTTACACCCACCTTATTCACGGCTGCTAGCGAGTTCAGCAAAGAACCACAGACATACTGAGATTTGAACGCATCCAGTCAAAGTGACTTTCTTTAGAGGCATAAAGGCAACAAAGTGAACCTAAAGTGCTTTGTCCTACACTCGTCATGATATAAAACTTATCAGCATTTTAAACTTGAGCTTCTCTCCTTGTCCCCGGCATATTTTCCCCTTTCATAATTCGTCTTTGCTCGTCACAGGCTCCTATTTGCAATGCTGTTTGAAGCTGGCTGCTAATTGGTTGATAAAAGCCTGCCTCTGAGCCGGGGCAAGCGCAGCATGTGAGCATGTGTTTCTGGATTCCCTGGTAGACAGGGAAACAGAGAGAACGAATGCTGGGGATGATGGATAAATAAAATATTATATAAGTTAAAGCTGCACTCTGCCTTATCATGTTTGAGGGGGTAATTTAGGACGAACCAGGAGGAAGAAGATACAGAAAACGAAGGCAGTGATGGTCATTTAGAAAAATGGCCATCACTGGCCAATGAGTTTCTCATTTATTCTATAATTGTGTCCTGTAACAAGTCACATTTTAACACAACTCTACACCATAATAGAACATAAAATAGATCCATTTGTTTTTTGTAATTACTCTGCAGTTCACTGCTCAGCTGTGGATTCAGATAACTGTAGTTTACAATGCAATTCAATGATTTAAATGTTATTTATTGTTTAAGTAATTATGTGGATTAACAATATTGTCGTCATTTCATTAAAAATACAGTCATACACACAAGAGTTACCTATAATCAAACCATCAAATTTTCTTTGTATGTCTGAAGCTGAACCATTTTTTTGTTGTTGTTAGTCAAAAATCTGTTGGTTCTCACGTATAAGCCTGATTTATACTCCATGCAAAGAGCTGAATGTGTTTTGCTGATGTAACAAAAAATTGTCTTTCTTCCCACACTTCCCCTGAGACTCAGTTCTGTGCTTAGCACAGAAATACATAGTTAGAATGATTGTCTCAAAGGTGGCGCCAAATATGGTGATTGGTCAGAACTTTGTGAGCATGTTTATGTGAAAAAGCAGTTGAATTATGCTGGTGTCATTTCATGTACCCGCTCTGCTGAGAGGAGCAGCTCGCCGAGGCTATTAGAAAATGCAGCCATTTTTACATTTGTTCCAGCTGAAATTATTCAGAAAGTCAAATAAACCTTATTAAATAAGTCAAAGAACTTGTGGAAGGAGATTGCACAATTTTTCTGGATGTAGAAGACTGTGCAGAGACACTGGCAACTCTCTGTGTCTATGCTGTCTGGAATACAGTTACGCTGCATCCAGACAACGCGAGGACATGTTCCCACATAAACAGTCAAAAACAGTGAGGTTCATTTCATTTATTCATGTATTTAAACAAGAAGAAAAATCTTTATACAATGAAAAACAAAACATAATTTATAAATGCAATGAAAGGAAGCAGAGGGAAAAAACTCATAACTTTTTCTGCAAGAATACAGTATGAATGCTGAGTGCTGAATGACTTTGCTAAAATTTGTGAAGCTGAAACTGAATTAGGTTAAAACAAAAACTAAACTAAGACTCAAATTAGCAAAACAGTAGCTAAAAGTAAAGAAAGTGTACTGAAGTATATTTTAAAGAGCACAAAGTTGATTAAGGATTTGAAGACTTTTCCATTCATAGTAATGAGAATAAGTGTTAAAAATAGCAAGAGTGGAAGCTGTAATGTGTTGTCCTGATTTCTGGTCCACCATCAGCTCAATACGATAAAATAAAATGAGGAGTTGCCTTGTAGTTTCTTCACATCATGTAGAATGAAGATTCTCATGGATACTTTGTTTTCTTCAGATAACTAGAAGGTTAAAAGTTTTCAGGTGATCAATATTTGTCCTACAACAGCTGCAGACTTTCTAGAAACAATACTGTGTAATTTAAGCGGTCGAAAAATGCATGTTTCAGGTCGGTTCTTTGCACTGAAAAACATAATGTATCAAAACAGATTTTAGAAGCCAAAGCATTGACTAAATGCTTAAAATAGAGCAGATACCTCAGGATGAACAAAAAATTGACCTCTACCTCTTTAAAAACTGACACATTGTATCCATCTAGCATCTGATGATGCAGTGTAAACAAACGTAATGAATTGTTTCACATTAAAAACCACAATCACAGCAAAATTATTACCTACCACAGTTTTGAATATGAGCTAAAAGCCGACTGGAAAGCTTCTACAAAACCACGGTGTGAGTACGAGCAAGGAGGAAAAATGTTTTGTCGTGAAGTAGAACGTACAGTAAATTTATCAGGACTGAGCAATGAAAAGGGAGATGCTCAGTAGCAGAGGGGCAAAAAAAGATTTTCCCAAGAAAGAAATATTTGAGGCTCCGGTTTGAAGGATTAAGGAAAGTGGTCGGTGCGGTGGCCTTTTAAGTGTAAATGACGGCTCACATGTCTTTTCTTCATCCCGTCACACTCAGCAGCTGCCGTGACTTCATATTACTCCACAAATGAGATTTCCGGTGGCTCGCTTTTTCCTTTTAGGTTATACTTCTGGTGTATTTCAGAGGAACAGGGTCACCAAGCTTTCACAGTCCTTTCGTGAGGTGAAAATTTGTGTATTTGAGAATCACAATAGAGAATAATACTCTAGTTTTATGGTACACTTCTGCTAATCAAATCTCACAGTTTCTCTATTCTTGACTGTCCTGGTTTTCTCCACGTCTTTCATTTTTGTCACCTCCTTCGCTCCCTTCTTTTCCAGAAAATGAGTCAGGAGTTTGAGATTAAGCGCCTGTCGTTAGAAGAGCAAAGAGACCGTCTCCAGCAGCAACTGGACAACTTGAAAGAGGAGCTGACGGCCAAAGTCAACATGGCCAATCAGGAAGTAGGAACTTTTAATTTCTGACACAATTCTCATTTTTTCAAATTCTGATGTTTTTTCAGTGATATAATATCTGCCTGACGGTCTCCCTCAGGTGTCCCACCTCCAGGAGATGGTGAGAGAAGGGGAGCAGAACCTGAATTCAGCTCAGACACAGATATCGTGTCTGAAGGAAACTCAGGACAAACTCCGCATTGAGCTGGATGCAACCAGAGCCCGAGTCCGAGAGACCAGCAACCTCCTCACTGACCTGCAGGTGAGGGCTAACCTAGAAAAATCCTGCAACCTGTGATGTGCATTTTAAGCAAAAACACTCTTTGAATATCAATAATTGCTGTATTAGTTTTTTTTAATACATAAACACAAAAACTACTATACTCAGTGAGTTTTATAGATATTGACCTAAATGTTGTTAGTTGTAGCTGAGTGTCATTCCCAACTTGTACTCCGAGCTCTAAGTGATTGTTAAATATCTGTTTTTCAAATTTTCAGTCAACTTTGGCTGTTAGGATATTATTTACTCAAACACTGGGTTAATTTTGGAGGAGTTTAAGTATCTGGATATCTTGTTGACAAGTGACAGTAGGATGGAGCAGGAGATGGACCGAGGCTTTCTGGATACAAGAGGCTGAAATGAGCTTCCTTCATATGGTAGCCAGGTCTTTGCTCAGGGTTTCCCCTAGGATTTTTAACCGTGGTGGTGGCCTCTCGGGGGTAACAGGACACAGATTCGACAGGTTGTCAAAATCTGGTTGTCCGCAAAAATCTCAATTAAAAAATGTAATTTAATAAGTAGGCTATATTGTCCTGTTTACAAAGTTTACAATATACAAATGTTCTCAGTCAGCAGGTTTCAGGAGCTGCTTGAGAAAAACTTCCTCCTCCTCATCCTCTTCTTTGAAATAGAGAGAAAAAATCAACATCCACAGGCTTTCTGCTTACAGGTCAAACATTTTCATTTAAATAGGAGTATACTGTGTACATGACCTCATTAAAAGTTACAGTTTAGTGTTCTTAGGACTGAAGACTTTCTGAGGAAAGAGATTTTTAAACATCTTTTCTATCATTTTAGTGTTTTTAACTGAGGAGCTTTTAAAGTTATTTATATTATTTAGGGCTGCAACTAACGATTATTTTAATAATCGATTAATCTGTCGATTATTTTTTCGATTAATCGGCCAAATCGTTAAAACACTTAATTACATAAATATGAGTAGATGTAAATTAATTTCATTCCTGTATAAATTAAAGATGCAAGTTATTGATTAATTAATTAATCTGAAGTTGATTTATCTTATAGACTAACAGTTAATTAATAAGCAGCCATTTTCTTAAAAA